ACCAGAAGTCACTGGATGATGCACTCTCAGGAGTCATAATGGAACCAGCATTACTAGGGAATTACTAGGGAACTGCATAGGCAAAATAAATTATATTGTCTCTATAAATTCCCCAGAGCTATAGTATTTGAAGTAATAACACGGTTGCTACTTTTTTCTCCTGGTGGGATATGATGTTAGCCAGGACAATATGACAATAAGGAAGAGATGGTTCCTGGACCTGAACAGGAAAATACAGTACACTCCTAACGATAAAATATTGAAGTACTTCTTCCTACTCATTCTAAATCTTCATCAATAAATTATTATACCTTATATGGGTCAATGAATTTTGTAACATTATTTTAAAATTGTTTACTTTGGGATCAGAAAGATTGAAAAAAAAAAAAGACTAGGAAGAGTTACACAAGTTTTATAGCAATTTTGAGTGTTAGCTTCATAACACTCTTTTGTTTTTCATATGTTCTATAATGTGATCACATTAATTAGAAAATAACAACTTGGCCATGGTCACATAGCTAGCTAAATAGTAGACAAATTCTGAGTCCAAAGCCCGTACTCTTTTCTCTTAAAAATTTTTAAAAAAATAATCTACATAATTCAAAAAATACAAAAAGACATATGGTGAAACATAAATCTTCCTCCCATCCTGTTCTCTTCATCTAGTTCCTTTCTCCACTGAACTATTGTTAGTTTTGTATCCTTCAAGAGACAGAAAATGTAGCTATATGTTTGCATGTATGCACATACATTTTTTCTTTTTAAATTAGGGGTAACTGGTTAATAACATAAATTTCAGGTGTACAACATTATAGTACATCTGTATACTCAATTGTGTGCTCACCACCCAAAGTCCTAATTTCCTTCTGTTACCATACATTTGACCCCTTTACCCTCTTCATCCTCTCCCCACCCAATTTGTTTTTTGGTGCTGAAATCTGGGATATTTTCTTTTTAAACACAAATGGTAAACACACACATACATGTTCAGTACTTTGCTGTTTTAGTAGACACAACGGAGAGATCTGATCAAATCAGTACATAAAAAGCAACCACTTTTTAACAACTGTACGATATTCTATTAAATGGATGTTTGCATCACATTTACCAGTTCTCAACTATTGCTATTTCAAACAATATTGAATTTAATATTCTCACATATGCATAGAAAAACATGAGCAAACATAGGTAGGATAAAGTCCTACAAATGAATTTGCTAGGTCAAAGGGGGATACTTACTTAAAATAAATCGTTAAATTGCTCGCTATACAGGTTGACCCTGTTCTACACTGTCTTCGACCACTGCATGTGTATCCTTCACCATAAGCTTGACTAACTTCTTGAGTTTTGCCATTCTCTATGCTCTTTTAACTGTATGATGCTACCTGTCTCTAAGTTCTAATTCTAGCATTTACTAGATTTATGACTTTGGACAAGTCAATTTGATCTTTGAACCTTCTTCCTTAATTGAGATAATATCCATTTTCTATAGTTTCTATCAAAATTAAAGGAGGTGAAAAGCCAAACATTACACAAATGGTAGGCAAAATCACTTTTATATACTCTACGTATAAGTAGCTCTTGTACTTTGCCTTCCACTTCTATTCGTACATAGCACAGCAACTGTTCAGGCTTTGTCATTCAATACTTCCCGTATCTTTTTCACATGCCCTTCCTCCAAATCTGACGATCAAATGAATCTTCTTGAATTCAAGTTCTAGTTGTGTCACTCAGCTTTAGACAAATAATAATGCTATATAACTAAGAGGAAATCCTGTACCTTATTTTCCATTAGCTAGCCCGACTCTACCTTCCTAAGTGTTTTCACTACTGCCTTTTGGCCATTGTTACATTTATAATTTTTAAATATTCCTGCACAGGCAGATGATATTACATGCACATACATTTTTAATGACCTGACACCTATCCACTTCCTATAAAACACCTAAGACACCTTGCCTGCATGTTCTTTTCCCCGCTTCTAGAGGGCCCACTGTGAATACTCCCAAATTCTGTATTCTCAAGACTTCCCAGATCTCAGGTAGATCCCATCCCCTCTCAATTCCATCTGCATGTCACCTTCTGCACTCCAAAATTTGTCTTTGTGGTCTGCTTTATAGCACTTGATGGATTGTTTCTTGAGTGGAATCACATACAGGCTGTATTTTTTATTCCTCAAACTATGTAGCAGTGTTTTCCTCATAGGGCATGTAAACAATTCATCAATAAATATGCTCAAATCACTTGATGTTCGGAGAAAGGGCATTCATCAATGCTGTAATTACTGAGTGCTTACTATATACTAAGCATTTTTCTAGGCTCTGGGAGGTAGCAATTAACACAACAAAATCTCTGCCTTCAGAGAACTCATATTCTAGTATAAAAGACAAGAAACTATATAGTAAGTGATAAATGATACGAAGAAAAAACAGGGTAAGAGAATAATAGTGGCTCAAGGTCACTATTTCAGAAGAGGATAGAGTGAGGAGACATGTAGGAATCTTGAAGGCTGTAGTAACTGGATTTTTACATGAGAGGAAATCAAGTCTTTCCTCTCAAAACATTGCCAATCGACCAGAGGGGATTGGTTATCTCTTGGGGTCTATGACAGACCCCTACTTGTCTCCAATATTCACCCTCCCCTTCTTGAGTAACAGAGTGGCTAGAGTCTAACTAGGTACACAGACACGTAGATGAAGATGACATATTCAAGCCTCTCTTGCAAGTCATGTGACTAAGTTCGGGGCAAGAGCAAAAGTAATTTGTGCCTCTCGCTTTTCAAAGGAGTGCTCATGTCTTTCCCTTGTGCCTTTCTCTCTCGATTATTTGGATAGAGATGTGCTGGCAAGAGCTGAAGCAGCCATCTTGTACCATAAGGAACCCACTAGTTGAGGATGACAGAGCAACAAGACAGGCGTTGTTATACTAGCTCAGAGTGCTTATATTGTTAAGAAAGGAATAAACTATCTTGTATAAGCTGTATTTGGGTTTTTGTTACAGCAAAAATAGCTTGTACCTTAATTCAGAGGCATATTAGAGAAATAATATCTTACCTACAAGGAATTTAATTACATAACCAGGAACTGTTTATGATATAGCTCCAACAATTCAAAAGGCAAACTATTTTGATAAAAGGGTAGGATGGTATTCTAGGGAAAAAAAAAAAATCAAACCTGGTTTTTCAGCCCCACCTCTGCCATTTACCAACTGTAAAAGCTTGAGAAAGTTATAACATTGCTATGTTCTTGTTTCTCCACCTACAGACAGGATTGCTACATATGAAAACACTTCAAAAGTATAATATAACTTATAAACTATGATCATATTTAGTTTTACAAAATGACTTAGGCTTCCCAGTGCTAGCCTTAATCACTCAAATAATTTCTTTCCATAATTTATGACTGTGAAAAGGATATAAACCACTTGGAAGATCCTTCCCAAGGCTAGTATCTCATATATGAAGGTAAAGAATGCAGCAGTCACACGATCACTGGAACTAAATTCAGGTCTTAAATAATATGAAAATTTTAAAGTTATCCTATTACAACATTCATTGAACAGTTTATTCCAAATCCTTCCTTACATTGGGATGATTCGTTTCCACCCATTCCCTACTGAATGTCTGGCAGGGATGACTAAGTGAACCCCGTCCCTTCAATCTCTAGAGACATGGACCTAAATGCCAAGAGTGTGCAATGCAAGCTTGCTCCTGAAAGGCAAAATGAAATGAACATAACTAAAGGGCACTCAGAAGGGTAAGGCAATATTTGTTGAAAGAACATCTTTCTAACTTGCTTAAAAACAGCCAAACTATGCTACAGTGTCTCAGCTGACGGCAGGGACCGTAGAACAAGAGCTGTTTATAGGCCGCTCTTGGCTTCATCAAATCCTCTTAAACAGTTCTTAGAATGAAACTAAACAGAGTAGCCTTGCTTTCTCTTTGGGTTAAAAAACAAAAACAAAAAAATAAACTGGCTTTTTAAAAAAGTACCCAAATCTTCCCAGTCATTCTCCAATAACTTATTTTGGAGCGATGAGCAAATAGTTATCTTAACATTTAAAATAATTCACTCCATCCAACTTTTCCATTAGGAATAAAAAACAAGTCCAAATTGCCAATCGAATCAAATTTCCCAAATGTGCAAATTTTATCAATTATAAGTTTTCCAAAGATATATAGTATGACTACAAAGTAATGAGATGAATTGGTATAAATATCATTTGGGGCAACTCATCTGGCTAACATACTCAAATTTCATAGATAACAAGATGTATGAAAATAATTATATCCATACTGCCCAAGGCTCACTCAAAACCTTTATCTTTATCCTTTGAACAATTGACACTATCAATAAAACAGAAGATCTCCACATTAACTTAGAATTCTCAGACCTTGATGTATAAAATGCATAGTACATTCCGTTTCAAGATTTAAAGTAATCAGATCTCAATAAAGCTGGAAAAATATATAAGAAGGAAACATTACTACTATGATGCTAGGTGCCCTAATAGGCCCCTTATCTCATCTGATCCTCTCAACAACTCTGAATTAGGCAGTATCCTCATTTCACTAATGAAGAAGCTGAATGAATTAACTTGTCTGCAAATAAGTAATACAGTCTGCCTGACTCAAAAATATTTTAAAAATTACTTTAGATGGTAGGTTAATGTAAGACATAAGACAAACTGTCTACTGGGAATGTTTTTAGCAAATCTAGGGTTTCGACCTAAAAAGTTAAACTTGCCTTATAACTTGGCTTCTTTACATGGTTTAAATTTTTTTTTCCCCATGTGTTTTTTGCATCTATTAGACTGTAATTTTCTTGCAGGCAGACAGGGGACTAACTTTTCTATCCTTCTTAACACAGGCAGAGTGGCAAACACTGTTCTATAAATGGCAGGCACTTAATAGACTTGTTTTTCAGTAAAAGTCTGAAAACCAAAATGACTCAAAGTTCAAATGTAAAAACAGTTCTCATTTAAAATAACATACACTGAAAGAATATGAAAATACCCATTTATTACCAACAAAGTATTTCCTCAATTTTTTTCCAATTACACAGATACACACAATAGAAAGACAAAATTATATTTTTATATACTAAAGATTCATACTCCAAAGAAAATAAGCATATGTTCAAAAGACAAGTAGAAAGCAGCAAGAAATCTTTCCTTGGAATACTAGAAACCTTTCAACAGAATCTCTCCTTAGGCTAATCAATGAAGATCTTGTCATTAAAAATGCTTGCTTGTCACCTTAAGGTTTTAAATTTTTTATTCACCAAATCACTTTCACTTAGTTTTTACAATATGAATGTAATTAAAAATCAACTTTTGTGGAAAATATACAGTTTTAAGTGGCTGAGACTATAGTGTGGTAGGCTTATTCTTTTATTAATGTTAAAATGGTACATAATTTATCCTTCACAACTCAAAATTCAATGCAAAACCAAATATTAATTTTGCCCAGAGAAATATAAATGCTTACAAAAAAGGTACGGAATAAGTGTTGGCATATGTAAAATGAAATGTAATTGACCATTTTATTTTCAACCACCACACCTAATCTTCAAGCTTCTTTTTCACAGTGATAATCGTTTTGCAGAAATAAGATGACTGGCACTAACTTAAGAAAATAAACTACACCAAGCACATATTAGTGAAGATATTCTGGTGGAAAACAAAGCATTAAACAACAAACATTTGGTAACAACATCCATTTACTAACATGTTAACGAAGTTTTTCAATGTTTACATGACTTGTTCATACTAGTAAAAATGTTATTTAAAAATATTTTCATAGTACATGCATTAGACTTAGTTTAAGAGGACAAAGCTCTTAAAATTTTTATAAAGAAAAAATACCTTTTAAAAGAGAAATGTCCAGGTGAGAGGACAGAAACTTATGGTTCATTATTTTTTGATGTAAGAATATAAATTTCAGTGGCTTTTTAAGAATATACAAAACCCAAACTGAACGCAATTCTTCAATTTATTCAGGCTACCAGGTCAAAAAAATAATTTTGTCATTACTGGTGCAAATCCAATCCACTGTTCAAAGACATATCCTTGGACTAGTCCATTATCTTACAAGATTTGTTTTTTAAAAGAATAGAATTTGTTTGGCACTGTTAATTGATATGACTCAGAGATAAACAAATGATTTTCTCACTTCATTCTTTCATGCTGGAAGAAAGTTTAAACTAGATTTTCTAAGATAATGGGGTAGAATCAACACTGTAAGGAAGGTCCTATAAGCCAAAGTTCTAGAAACATTATGGTTTTAAAATCAATGCTTTCCCTCACTCTTTATATAACACTGAGAAATTTCAAATATAAATCGTAGAAACCAGTATATGAAATCTTAAGAAAAATCTTACTAAAAATAATTATAAAAATGCTTTTAGAAATTTAAGATGTAAAATACAATTGACTTTAAATTAAAAAAAAACACACACACACACTTTACAGGGTGATTATTTAAAAACCCTGGTCACTTGATTTTCTGTCAATCTTTTGATTGCATTTTGCATCATCTAGTGGCCACACTGTGGCATTTCAAAGAAGTCCCACTAGCATTTTTGAACCCCAGTACTTTTGTTCCTTTGAGATATCAACAGTTATAGTATCGAGTTTCATAAAACTTTTTTTAAGGCCCATAAAATTCCATTTCCTAGTGGAGATAAGGTAATCTTTTATAATAGGAAGAAATGAATAGATTTGTCATAAATTATTACTGTACATTAGACATTTCCATATCAATTTTTTAAAAATTAAATATAACACTGGGAGAAAACTATGACTTAAGCTCCAGAGTCATCTTTAGACTCTAAAAGTAATTAAAGTTACTCTGCAGTTAAAGCTCAGGGTTATCATGTCAACTAAACTTCTTATGAGTGATAACTCCTTCCACTGTACCTCTGATTTGAAATAGTAAATACTTTTTAGCATGGGAACCCAATGACTCATGGTTAGAGGGCTAAGGATTGAAGTCAACAACGAAGACAAAAAGGCTTATTTTTTCCCATCAGAAGATGATATTCCACAGAAATAAGTTATGGTCTCCATTCATCAACCCATTTGTATTTAACAGGAAGTTTCCAAAAACAACTGATATATTAGTCTCAATGAATGTCCTAACTTTTATTCAGTTGAGCCGTACTTATAAACAGAATTTAAAAGAAAAATTCCAAAGTTCTCTCATTTTATTGAGAAGGTTGAGTGAATGTAATACGGCGCCGCCGTCTCAGGAAAGCCTTTAAATTCCACCTGTTTGGTTCCAGCATATGAGGACCATTGTAGACAAACAATACTGTCATCTTCTCAGAATAAGGGAGATTTTGTAGGAGCTATAAGTGTTAAAACAAACTGTCATATAATGCTACATACATACATTAAGGAGCACAATTTTCCAAACTTATATGTATATAAATGTATAATGTTAATGAAACTTATGAATCTCTCCAACAACTCAATATATAACCTGCCAGACTGTGATCCCTACCTGAATTAGCAAACCTGAAGTCTGGCCTAAGGAATAATTAACATGCTTAGGGGACCCTCTGTATTCACAGGCCAAATGGAATCAGACAACTTCTTAGGTAAGAGAAGTGCATCCTCTATAATTTTCCTACAATAAATACTTTCACTCATCTGTCCACAAATACTTCTCAAGGAACCTTTATGGTCAGGCACTATGATAGATTGGTAGTGTGTAACAGGGAGGTGTGGTTTATACGCCAAGGTGTTTGGTAAACTATAGGGTAATAACAGATCTAACCAGTCCATAGAGAATTTGTTGGAACAAGTAGAGAGAGTAAACTATTCAATAAAAATCTGAATTTAGGATGGGCTCTCCAATGAAACTTTTTGTGAATACTTAGTTAAACAGGGGGAAATAATTAATTATATCAATAAATACATCTTTGAGTACGTAAGTTTTATATTTATAGCATAAGACATTAATAAAATTTCCCACTGCAATGGTTTCAGCTTATGGAGAATTCTCTATAAAGATACTTCTATTTTTATCATTGCTAATCTCTGAATCGATGTTGGGATACTTAGGGTTTCCTCTGGGCCAGGGCAGTGGTGACTAAGAGGTGCAGAGTATACCAGCACAGGCCTTACTAGGGAAATGAGGCAGGCCAGAGCTCTACGGTTTGCATTCTCCTGTCACTTTTTAGTGCTAAAAGAGGAACTTCTCTAGAGGAGGAGTAAGGGCCAAAAGCAGGGAAGAAATCTCTGTTCTAGAACATAATGCTATGCCTCCTACGTTTCCTTCTCCAATAATGAGATTTCTGATTAAGTATGTCACTGGAACTTGTCCCCTTTAATAATATAAATATTACTTTAATCTTTTTAGTTCCTTTTCTGGGAGTATTCCTGCTCACATAACTGGGCCCAAATCTGCTACATGAAAGCCACACAGGACTTTTGAGTACATGAGCACTTTTAGGTTATTTATCACCTACCTTTGGTGTAATAAAGAAGTACTGAGAAGTGTTTTCTTTACAAGCAGTATTTACAACCATTTCAAACACTCTCCGTTCATTGATCGGGTCCATTCCCTAAACAATGACAATAATAATGATTATATTTAATCTATTTTAAGATACAAGACATGATAAAATTCAAGTAAAATAATCACTATACCTGATTGATTTCATCAACTACTCTGAATGGACATCTATTAAGCTCCTGAAGTGCCATCAAGTATAACATGGTAGAAACACTTCTTTCACCTCCACTTTGATGATGAGGAGTTAATTCATGCAGTTGAGTACTACTGCGAAATTTGACTCTAATTCGAATTCCATATTTATCATAGTCTTCCTATAAGACATTTGAAAACTTGATGAAAGATGAGTTTTCTCTGATAATTTCACAGTGTTATTTGAAAACAGACTGAATAGATTATAAGAGTAAAAAAATTAACATTTAGTGACAGTTTAAAATAACCCAATAAAATATTAAAGAACCAGTTGCTATCTACAAGCTTTGAGGGGGGGGGGTCTCCAAGGATCTGTGTTGATAAGAAAAATACTCATATTATGAGTAACTTTTTTCCTTGTCTTGTAACATTCATTTCAACTTTAGTAGGCTTTCCCAAGAGCTTTTACGGATTACTTAGTGAAGAGCCCTGTCAGAGAGAGACACTAAATTCTAGCTACTGATGTGCTAGGTTTTAAAGCTATAGGTGCAAATAATTAGAGCACGATGGAGTATCATGACATTTTCCACTAGAGAGGCAGCTGTGCATATCACTGCAGAGGGCCAAGAGTCTTCCCGCTTCTTTAGCTGGTTAAGAAGAAAAGAATAGGCAGAGACTATATGTATACTCTGAAAAAATATTTACATTAAGTCAAATAAATACACATAATGTGCAGCAAAAGCCTGGCACATATTAAATGCTCACCAAGTATTTGTTGTAATGAGCGCATTCAGTATTCTGTAAATTTTCCCCAAAATGAGGTTGCTCTAAGGCTTATTTACTATTCTTATCAAATGTCATTTCTAGATCAGTCAGTTTTAGATTTACCCTAAAAATGAGATGTATAACTTAATAATTAAAGGTTAACTATTTAATGAATAGAGCTTTAAGGTCTAAGACATCACCAACCAAGAGAAATATAATGCAAGCCACACATGCAATTTAAAATTTTCTAGTAGCCACATTAAAAAGTAAAAATAATGTGAAATTTTAAGTTTCTTTAATACAATATACCTAAAATAGTTTTACCATGTAGTCAATACAAAGTATTTTTTATATATTCTTTTTTTATACCAAGTCTTCAAAATTCAAAACTTACAGCACATTTTACACATTTCAAGTGCTCAATAGTCACGTGTAGTTAGCAGCTACCATACTGGACAGCAGAGATCTAAGATTAACAGTAAGAACTTATATATAAATATCTTAACCATAAACACTGGAATCTTAATAGGCTATCAAATTTTAGAAATACTACCTTCTAAAAGCAAAGCCAAAACAAATAAATGATAAATAAATTTTAATAGTTTTGACTCTCCAGGTTTACTTTTTAAATTTAGACACTGTATTTTTTCCACAATAAATTTATTAACTGTGCCATTTCTTAACTGTAGCAGCTCTGATTGCTAGTTTTGTTTTTGGCTCTGCTACCTATTCTTTGCTCTTTCTGCCCCATTCTAGCTCCTTTCATCTCAATGAAAGGTCTAGCTAAAGAAGGCAGTTCTAGAACTATGACTGAGGAATCCGGAATAGAAGCATTTTAAGGGGGAGGCCAAGAAGAGATAAGAATGTCCATTTTCCAGGGCCCTTGGCCAGTGAGACAAGTGAACTGAAAAGACTAGAAATCATTGCTATGGTAATGACTTATCATTTAAAACACAGAAAACCTATCTAGAAGAAAGAGCACATGATAAAGTTATAGCACCATGTAATGGACCTAGATTAAAGAATGGGATTTCTCTGACAGGTCAAGTTCCAAAGGCTTCCCTATTCTGACCTGAGCATATTTATGCCTTATCTAGTCAAGTTGTTTGGTAAAGATAGTATAGTTACTCTGAGTTTGACAAAGCTCTCAATAATCAAATTTTCATCCCATAAAAACTACGCCACTTTCACTGAAAAGGCAGTATTGAAGAGCTTAGGTTCTGGGATCAGGTCTGGGGTTTGATTTTTCACTTTGCCACTCAGTAGCTATGTGACCTTTAGTAAAGTTTCTGTAAGTTTCATTTTCTTTGTAAAGTAGGGTTAATAAAAAGTACCTGCTTTATCGAACAGTTGTGAGGATTAAACAAGATAAAAGTGCTTGACACAGTGCCTGGCACATAGTAAGTATATTATCAATTCTTACTGTTACTACAATATACCCTTATTTCGAACAAGCCCAAGGACTGGGTAGATGACAATTACTGTGGCAGGGTCTACTATGTTACTAGAACTTAAAAGTAAAATGATGTTTGTTATCCTTACGTCTCACACTAAGTAGATGGAGTCATGGGGCAAAGTTCCTAAGTGGAGAAAAAGGCACTACCTGGCTTTATATTTATGTCTGTAACACACATGCAAAATTATATACAAGCTAAAATGAAAAACATTGAGCTATGAAGGCAGAATTTTTATTTTCTTAAAAAAAAAGATTAGGAAAAATTTTCAACATACACAAAAATTAAAGCACAAAAATAAGCTCAATGTATCATCAACTAGTGTCAACTATAATCAATACATGACCATTCTTGTTTCACCTATAACTCTGCCACTCCTCTTTCCCAATTATTTTGAAGCAAATCCCAGTTCATCTCTTACACATTTCTTAATGGTAATTTTATTTTACCCACAATTGCAATCCATAAACTTATAGCTCAAAAAATTAGCAGCAAATTTTCAAATACTTTCATTCTTGTGAACTATTAAATACTTGATCAAAGGGAAACCACTGATAGACTATATTTCAGTTATGTTTGCCAATTTATGACTCTTATAACTTGGATAGTGGTAGATTTATAAAGCAATGCAGTGCATTTGTTCATCACAGCTGAATAATCATTACTTAGACTGGATATAAAAAGAGTGAAGTATTAGTCACCAATCTCAAATGTCATCAAAAAAAAAAAGAAAAAAAAAAGAAAAAAAAGTGACCCTGATGGAATCCCACAGGTGGTCTTTTCCTTCCTTTGAACAGTTTGTTAGTAAGCAAAATTTTCAAATATAACTCTAGAATAAAGAACTTACATATAATTAAAATTACTTGCGAGGAAACATTTCAAATGCAATTTTACCTCATTTTCTGTATGGAGATCAACTTCACCAGCACACTGCATGGAACTAAAAAAATTGCTGAATTTTTCATTAATTTTTTCTACCAGCTCTTTTAAAGGATTAAGCCACCTCTCTTTTACCTGCAAATAAAGGCAATTAAAAAAAAAACCACACAATTTAAAAGAAGGATTACATTCTGATATAAAACTACATAAAACATTTAATATAAATATCAATCTGACCATAAGAACATATATTGCATTTTTAGAAGCATATCATTTCATTTTGCATTATTCTACATTCCCACATAACTAATGGTAAGAACATGACAAAAAGTTAAATATTAAACAATTACCTGTGAAATATTTTCTCTATATTTATCCAGTTCAACTTTCTTTATCTTTAGTTCCTGAGTTAACTGCTCTATTTCTTCTTCTCTTTTTGTGTATTCTTCAACAACCTGGCAGGAAAAAATTATTTAAGATAAATCTACCAAAGGATAAAATTACAGGAAATTTGCATCAATTAAAACATTAATCGAAAATGCCAATGCGTTGTATTGTTTGTATGCTCTTATACTGAAAATGCCATTTTTTATCCTTGAAAATATAGACATTGCAGTATTTTAGGTTAGTCCAACTATTCTTTTTATAAAGAAAAGGCACAGAACACTGTGTTCCTTAGGAAGAATCTATTTAAAATTCTAATAGATTCAGAATCTGGCATTTAAAGCACATTGTTCCTGCTGTCTAGCTTATTATTACCAAGAGCTCTAGTACAGAGTGGGAGGCAAGTTCTGGAGGGAACTGTGTATACGTGCGTGCATGTGTGTGTGTGTGTGTGTGTGTGTGTGTGTGCGCGCGTGCGTGTGTGCGTGTGTATGTAGGGTGATGGTGGTTGCAGTAGGCAATAGGAAAAGCAGCATACTGTAGGATTCAGTCCTGTGAAGCAAGAAGCTCTTGATCTTTCTTCAGTTAATAAAGCATCAATTTCATCCAATGTGTTTGGAAGATCTTGGAAAGCCTAAAGAAACAAAAAATATTCATCATTATAGATAGTATAGTGAAAACAGTTCAAACAGTTAACAATATTCTGCTGCGTAAATATCTAATACTATGTGTTCAACAGCATGCTAACACACAAGGAATCAAAGAAATTACAGGGTTTTCTTGCTTTCAAAAGGCTTACACTTTAGACGAAAACAAAAATATACACACTTAATAACACTAGATAATACCTTAGGCAGTGTATTGATGTTGAGTATTAAAATAAGCAGTACATTTCATACTGGCTATGGAATTTAGAGAAGGAAGTATCAGTTCATGCTACAGGAGCTACAAGAGAGTTAAGAGAATTCAAAGGTCTAGAGTTCATCTCTGGGCCTTTAAGCAAATGGCTAAGGAAAAGCAAGGCAGACGGGAGATAGGAGCTTGGAAAAAAGAACAAGCACTGCATACCATGGGGGGTGAGGAGTTGTGTCCATTTGGAATGGTGGGTACTTGCTGAATTGGTAGAATGGGTCCAGAATATGTGGGGCATTGAAAGAGAGCAAGAAGTTAGAACTTTATACTGTACTTATGAAGAACTACAAAAGCATCCTAAGAATCCAATTACTTTGACAGCAGAATTTTGCCACAGTACTATCTTCTGAGTCCATGCCATAGAGACATATTAGAATAGATACTTTCCTGAGATGAAGCAAGCAGTACATTGTTTTGCCAGCACAACCTACAAAGTTCATAAAGGTACAAAATGAATCTTGAAACCTTAAAAAAGATCCTGACAATATTACATTAATCTAATATCTTGTTTTTTAAAATCTTTTAGAAAGCATTTCAACTTCCATAGGCTTTCAGATATTTAAGTATATTTTGCTGAATCTGACATGTCCACTGAGCTTTGAATTCATGAGCATAATATTTATTTAGTATCTTCACCTGACTCTCTAATAAGTATCTTAAATTGAAGATGGTGAAACAGAAATCACTTCACCCATCTTCCCTACCAATTTGAGCAAACCTGTTTCTCCTCTTCAATCATCTCCATTTCAATATATGGCAAAATTCAAGGATTCTCTCTTAACTTTCACCTCAAATCCATTAGCATATCCTATTGGCTCTCTTCTAAATGATAGCTCAAATCTATAAACCTTTCTCTCTCCAGTGCTTCCTCTCTAATCCATGCCACTATAATTTCTTGTCTGGTCCAAAGCAATAATCTAAATGGTCTCCTTGCTTCCAGTCTTATATCCCTACTTTATTCTTCATATAGCAAATATGAGTGCTATCCTATAAACTGAAGTTAGTCACATCACTCTTCTGTTTAAAATTCTCTAGTGGATTCCATTTCAAAATAAAACCCAAACTCCAATGGTCTATATAGCCCTATATGATCTGACTTCTGCCTTCCTTTCTGCTTGGATTATAATTTTTTAACTCCACTGAGATTTCTTCTCTTCTGAAACATGCCGAATATACTTCAGCCACAGCGGATCTCTTATGAGCTGTGTTCTTTTCACAGCTTTGGAGACTTTTCCTTCAAACTTCACTTGACTTGATTTCTTCTTTTTATTCAGGACTCATCTCAAATAGCATCTTCTCACAGGAGACTTCCTCGACACTCTATCCCATTAACTTGTTTTCTTTTTCTTCTTAGCACCTCCTGCTACCTGACATTATCTATTTGCTTTTTGATTTTTGTCTGCCCCACAGTCCAGACTAGAATGTAAATTTCAGTAGAGAAGAAAGTATATGTCCTGTTCAATGCCTGAGATATATATACATATAAGTATACACATATATATACGTACGTACACACACATATACACAATACATTTTTAATATATGAATTATCTTCTAATTTTATTCATTTTAAAAGCATGACTTAAGAACAGAATCATACTACTTTCTGAAAGAAAAAATTAGTACCGATATTGTATTAATATCTTTATGATACACAATGTATTTTGGAGAAGTTCTAGCATATTTTGAGAATAGCTCCTCAATTTGTCTTAAAAATATATACTAAATTCCTACTATGTACTCAGTCAGATTCATTCTCTGCTTTCTGTGTTTGATACTATAGATTAAAATCTTTGAGGATTTGAAAATTATAATCTAAATTAATTTTTTTCCAGTTCTATTTATAGCCTTAGTAGACATTTCATTATCTATTGGAATAAACATTTAAAATTAAGAAAGCCATACAAATACCAGATATTTCAAAATTCATTTTCTATTCATTTTCTCATTGTGATATTATTCTGAGAGAATATTTAGGCAAGGTATTATCCCCACTTGTCAGATAAAAATGTAGGGTCACAGGGCTAAATGTTAATGGTGGAACTTGGACTAAAGGGCGGCATCTCTTTACTAACTGAATGATACATCAACATATAAAATATAGTGGAAAGAAAAGGCTCCTTTCTCCTTTCCTTACCAACAAATGTTAGCCCTAAAGATTCAGCTACCATTGGACTCTAAATAAAAACTCTAATATCTAGGAAAAAATTTTTATTTTGCTTTTGTTTTTCTAAATATCACCTCTATTTGCTGTTATATACCAATTACTGATACCTCTTAAAGGGAGCTTGGGGGGAATCTTTTATTGGAAGAATGAATGTTATGGTACTAATTTACAAGGTGATACCCATGTTTCAATAACTTTAGTACCAAGAAATAAGACTGACTGCTGCCCAAGTCAGAGTAGAGAAAATGTGCTAAGCAAAATTACATATATACTGTTAAAAATAAGGAAATCCATATTTTTTTTATGTCACATGGTTTTCATGGCCCGTTACAATGCCTAACACATTTTAAGATTAAAAAAAATATATTAAATGTTAACTTGTAGTATTATATACTTTTTATACTTACTGTCTGATATTCTTGAGGAACAGTCTGCTCTGCACTCAGGTTACACACTTGCCTAGCTCTCTTCATAAGTTCTTTGCATTTCTGCAATAATCTCTGTCTACTTTCATCCAACTCAATGAAATGTTGCTATTACATGAAAAAGAAATATTTTGAAAATGCGTATGTTAAGTCACATTATATATGTTATTGAATTTGACTGTGATAAGCAAATCATCTGAAAACCATACCTCAAATCATGACTGAACTTAAAACTTTAAAATATATCAGCACATTACTACAGCATTACTCTAATCCAGAAGAGCTTTAAAATTTAAATTTATCTTTTTGAAACAGTTTAATTTAGCTATATATAATTTTACTTTAATAAAATTTGAAATACAGTATGTAGGCCTCATATCAGAAAACTCAGCACTCAAATATAAGTAGAACCTTTAAAATAGTGTTTGATAGTTTTCAAAATGCCTTTCATACAGTTATTTATTCATGAACACATTCATTCCTTTACCAAATAATTACTGAGAACCTATTAATGTCAGTTTTTATTATGCACTGAGAATGGAAAGATAAGAGGAAACATACATAAAATCATCATAAAGGGAACAGTTACTATTTATTGAAAGCTTATGTGCTAGGTGCTTTACTCGATTCCCTTATTTCTCACAACACTGCACAGTAATACTGTCCCCATTTTGTACATTAAAAGAAAAAAAAAAGACAGGAATTAAGGCAACTTGTCCAAATTCACACATTTAGAAGCTGTCAGGATTCACATCCATGCTTGCTTACAGAATTTATGCTCTTTTCATTACAGCACAATGCCTCTCAGTGGGAGAGAACAGCCAAAGGAAAGCAGAAGAGACTGTGTGGTGGGGGCAGGGGATGCAGGAAGGTCAGAGTGGTCACAGAAGCTACAATGAGTTAAGGTCTTAGAGGACAAATAAGAAATTACTAAAGAGGAAGCAGCAGAAGGCATTCCCAGGATAGGTGATTATAAACATAAAGGCATGGAAGCTACAAAGACCCACGATTTTATGCAACAAGAAATATAATGTGTGGAGGAAAGGTAAAGATGTAAAAGAGTGGCAAGGTGAACAAGAACCAGATGGCAAAAGTTTCATGTGTAATGAGGAAGGCATCATGGAATGCCTTCTGTGGGCCAAGCTTTGTTATAACCACTATTGAATATGTTAATCGAATCTTCATTATGATCTAAAAGAAATATATTATCTCCTTTTTTAGATGTGGCTCACAGATAGTAAGAAACTTGCTCAAGGTTATGGTAATAGTAGATGGGCCAGTTCCTAATAAAACAGGTCTAGCTTACTCTTTGCATTAAAACACCTCCCCCCCACCCCCACCCCCGTGGTAGTGGTAAAGATTGTTAAAACAGTATTGATGTCCCAGCCACATGCCAGATCTATTCAATTAAGTTCTCTGGGGCTAAGGCCTGAACATTTGTATTAACAAGGTCCTCAGGTGATTTTTATGCTCACGAGTTTGATAGCAAATAAATTAAACCAAGACAAACATTATGAAGAGTAAAAGGATATATACTAGACTGAACTGAAAATACAAGTAAGTCTTTATACTAATCTCTTAGTACTGTGGTTTCCTTGAATGAATTCTTCAGTCCTTATACCCTCAGAAAAATAAAATATTAAAGACTCCCAGTCACTTGCTCTGTT